CATTTGTGCTGGGGCTTAGTCAGTTTTGTTTATCATATATTGTACATTGTACACCATCAATAAATGTTTGAATAAATAAATGAATCCTTTGTTATACAGAAGAGGAGATGGAGGCTGAGAAAAGTCCAGTAACTTATTGTAAGGTCACAGTGTTAACGAGTGGCAGAGCTAGGATAAGAATGTGCATCTTCTGTTACTAGTTTTTGTGGGTTCTGTGTTGGATGATATGAGGATGTCTGAGCAAATTCCTGTGATATGTATCAAGAGGTCACTATGCACTCCGTACTTATGACAATCAAAACAAAAGCGAAACCTGTTGCCGTTAAGTCGATTCCAACTCATGGTGACCCTATATGTTACAGAGTAGAACTGCTCCATAGGATTTTCTTGGCTGTAATCTTTATGGAAGCAGATTAACAAGGCTTTCTTCCATTGAGCCGCTAGGTGGGTTTGAATCACCAATCTTTCAATTAGTAGTCAACTGAAAACCATTTGCTGCATGCAGGGAACCCTACTTATGAGACTACCAGGGAATACAGGTTGCCAAAAATATTCTTGGCTATTTTGGGAGAGGCAAAGTCTGAACTTATGGGGTGCTTATTTTATAATTGTGTCAATCGTTTTGGAAACATTAATATTTCTCTTGCATATCTCTGTCCATCTTCCAGTTTCCCCCATAACCTTCTCCTCCTTTGTCATGGATTGAATTGTGTCCCCCCAAAATATCTGTCAACTTGTGTGGTTGTCCTCCATTTTGTGATGTGTTGTAAATCCCAACCTCTATATGTTAATGAGGCAGGATCAGTGTGACGTATCTTGAGTCACAGCCTTACAAGAAGGTGTGACGCAAGTTACTCTTACTCAAGTCACACCCTTACTTAAGGCACACCCTTACTGAAGTCACGTCCTTGCTTGAGTCACACCTTTTATCTTACAAGTGTTAGAGAGAGAAGAGAGGAGAAGGATCTCACTACCACTAAGAAAGAAGAGCCTGGAGTGAAGTATGTCCTTTGGACCTGGGGCCCCTGTGCTGAGAAACTCCTAGACCCATGAGAAGATTGATGTCAAGATGCATGGAGATCTCTCAGGGACACCAGCCCTACAGATGTTGAAAGGAGACAAGGACCTTCTTCCAGAGCTGACAGAGAAATCCTTCCCATAGAGCTAGCGCCCTGAATTTGGACTTATAGCCTACTAAACTGTGAGAGAATAAATTTCTGTTTGTTAAAGCCATCCACTTGTGATATTTCTGTTACAGCAGCACTAGATAACTAAGACACGCTTTTTTTTTTTTACCTGCCTCCCTGATGCATTTTTCTTTCATCACTGCCCCAAATACATTCCATTTTGAGAAACGTATGTCATTAATTTAGTCAACCACATCTTGACCATCTAAAGACAGAGAAGTTCTGGTTCCTGGTCTGAAATTACAGTCTTACTTATGTAACAATAGAATGAATTGTTTTAAAAGTGAAAATAGAAATAAGAACAAGTTAATATAATGAAAGAGATTTTATAAGGGCTGGTGGATAGTAAAAGAGAGTGGGGTGGGATTCTTCTTAGAGGGGGAGAGTTTCAAAGATATGAGATATGAAGATACAGGGAGCAGGGGAAATGAGAGGTGAGCAAAGAACAATGAACATGTGTTGACTGGGCTGGAGAGGAGAGGGTTGGTAACGTTCTGCAGGATCACTCAGAACCAGAGGGATAACGATGACTTGGGGAAGGAGTTCCTGGAATCAGTGGGACCTTAAGGTGCTAAAAGATGAGTACAAAGTCACCAGAGAAGCTTGTTAAAAATGCAAAATTTTCTTGGGGACAATTAATGGGGACAGAACCTTCATAGATTTTGCATGTATAAATTGGGGATTACCTCTATAGAGATACAAAATAAAAATGTAAAACTCTGAAATAATTTCTGGGTTCAGAATCTGAATTTATTGCCTATTTTCTGGGTGGCTTTGTGTAATTTATTTAAGATCTTAGTCTATTTTCTCATTTACAAATACTGGTTTTTGTGAGGATCAAGTAAAATATTCTATAAGATGTTATACCACAATGCTGGCTTAGAGGAGACATCAATAAATGTTAGGTTTATATGGTAAAATATATTTACTCCAAGTTGTGATAACTGACATAGCTATAGATTTCAATGAATATTTTCAGTTTATCTTGGATTATTTAGTTCCTGACTTATAAACTTTTTCCCTTTGGATTTTCTCAGAAATTAATAACTTTTCATAAGCAGGTGCAGAATAATTGTTTTCATTCAGAAAACATGGCTGGATAAGTCACATTTGCATAAAATCACTCTAAGAAATCTATCAAAGTGAATGAAAAGAACCCTAAATTAGGGAGGACTGTTTCATTTATACTGAAATTAGAGTTTCAACCTCATACACCATGTCATAAAGACAACTTTTTGGATTCAATTTAGTAGAAGTTGCCTGGATTTAATACACATTTCATTTAATTATAGACATGCTGCATTATATGGGAAATGAAAAATGTTTGAAGGGCCTTTTAACAACCCTGATAAATAGGACAGGGTGGCAAAGTTACGCATCAGATTTTACGCTCTGGAAAATGAAACATAGCAAAAAGACTTACAAAGGGGGATTTTCTTTCCCAAAAGTATTAATGTAAGAAGTGTAGATATGTTTCCATCCTTCATTATTTCAATGCAAACATATTCATGAATTCTTAAAACACATTTCATAAATAACAAGGAAATAAAAGCTTTTATCTAACAGTTTCTTAAACCATACAGATGTGGTGGAGATTCAACAAGTGCAAAAAAAAAAAAAAATTGCAGGGGACATATTAAGCTGATGCACCAAAGATAACAGTATAAATGCTTGCCTCTTAGATGAAGATGGTTGAGCAGATCCTCGCTAACTTCTTCACTGTTTCACATCTGAAAAAAGCCTAAACTCTAAGTGGTGGGAATCATCACTGAGACAGGGAAGTGAAATGTCCATTCTAGCAGGAGCCCACAAAGAGCAGCAGGTAGCCTGGTTATAGAATATACGAGTGGTTGAGCTGCAGAGAACCCTGGAGAATGTGGGACATGCACAGCTGATCAGCACCAACCCATGCTTGCCATTTGCCATTGCTTCTAGATCTTCAATTTTTTAAGAGAAGTGGGAAAAATTTTTTTTAATTTAATTTTTGTTCATTTTTGATTTTCTGAGGTAAAATCTCCAAATTTAAAAATGTTAGCAACTAATTCAGCATTCATTTTAAGCATAGTCAGTGTAGGCCTGCATTGTGTGGACGAGGCAGGACATATCAGAGGGCCACATTTGGCCCTCAAGCTTTCAGTTTGCAATCTCTGAGATCTAATGGACGATGTTAGAATCCTCCTCCAGAATAGAGTAGGAATGAAGTCTCAGATCAAAATCAACACTCTTGGCATCAAGCCTAGAGCTTTTTCCTGGAGTGCTGATTGACTGTCTTAACCTAAGACAGGATCTGATCAGGGAGACGGTTGGGTAAGACTGATACTCCTTAATTGATGCCATATACTTCTAACCAGGGTCTTTTCACTTTGCTGTTCAGAATAAAGGCACTGCTCTCATGAGTTTGAACAGTTTGTGTATATTTTCAAAAAAACACAAATTTCAACATACACAAAAAGCTTGATTATTCCGTATCTGTGCCCCTAATGTCCTTATGAACTTCCTTAATATTTTTAAAACTAAGATAACAAAACAGAGTAGAGAACTGTCAGACATTGGTCGCATCATTGCTGGACCTAGTTTGGGTCTTTTTCAAGCTTTTCATATGGTGATTCAAGCCAGTTTTATCTGAGTATTGGGAAAGAATTGTAGAAGCATCAGAGCAGGGGCAAAGGATATAAAAGGCATCAGAAGGTTGATTTTGAAACCATCCCATTTCCCTGCCCTGTGAATTTAATATTGAATGGAGTACCTGACAGGAATTTTGAGGATTCCCCTTTCATTGTCTCTCCCTAAGGACCATTGCAGTTTTCCATCCTCTGAGGTGAGCCCTTTTTTGCAGTTGGTTTGTAGAATATGGGTTCTGTCAGCAGCCATTAAAAATACCCTATTTTATTTTTAAAGCTATTTTGAATGGATTATGTTGGTTTTTCCACTCTGATCTTTTTTTATCTGAACAATAATAAGGTCAGTTTGATGCAGCTTGATTTTTTTCCCCCTGACATTTAGTTTAATCCTTTCACAAACCTTGACCTCGTTTGTGTTTAACCTTGGACCACCTGCCTTGGTTGGTTACATGATTTGCAAATTAGGACATGCCTATTTATTTTTTCTTATTATTGAGCTCCAAAGCTCACCAAGATTCATCTTTTTCTTTGCTTTGCTTTTCCCTCTACTTCTCTGTTTTCTTACGCTCATATTAATAAAATTGCTTGAAAAATAATCATCTAGTCAAATGCCTAATTTGTTTATGGAAAAACAGTTTACTTGCAAGTATGTAGGTTGGAAGGATACGTTACTAAATTATAATTTAAAATTTTTTTATCATTGAATGTCAGTCTCACTGTGTTCCTTCTATGGCTCTATAAATATACATTCTGTTGAAATGTTAGAGGTGGAAGGTAGTTTGGCGATCATTTGCTCTAAAACCATCATTTTACTGAAGAGGCAAGTGTAGACCAAGTAGGAGAGGTGTCTTGGCCAAGGTCATACAAATGCTAGTGGCAAAATCAGGAAATAGTATTGCATAGTGGTTAGGAGTAGTTCAGGATTTGGAGTCAGACAAAACTGAGTTTGTGTCCTGGCTGGCTGAGTATTAATTATCTTGATATGACTTTAGGCAAGCCAGATAACTTTTTGGAGCTCTAGTTTCAGTAGCTGTAGAGTGGAGATAATAAGAGTACACCTCAAAGATTTGTGATGAGGAATAAATGATAGAATCCACATCAACTGCATTCAACTGCATGGCACAGTGCCTAACACTTAGTAAGTTCTCAATGAGCCGCTATTGCTACTGCTGTCACTATCGTAATTATCAAGACATCGGTGGTTCAGTGGTAGAATTCTCGCCTTATATGCGGGAGACCCAGGTTTGATTTCTGGCCAGTGTACCTCATGCACAGCCACCACCTATCTATCAGTAATGGCTTTGTATATTGCTCTGATTCTGAACAGATTTCACTGGCGCTTCCAACTACAACGGACTAGGAAGAAGGGCCTGGTGAACTACTTCTAAAAATCTGCCTGTGAAAACCCTGTGAATCACAGTGGTTTGAGCCACTGTTGATCATGGGGATGGCACAGGACCAGGCAGCATTTTGTTCTGTTGTACATGGGGTCATCATGAGTTGGAGGCCAACTCCACAGCAGCTAATAGCAGCGACATAATTATCATTCTGATCACCAGTCCACGTTTTTTATTTTATCACACAGCAATGCTTCCACGCAATATAAAAGACCAAGGGATTTCTTAAGGTCTTTCAAACTTTTTCAGCAGAGGCTTGGTGTCAGGTGTCATTTGCTGAAAGTATCTTAGCTTATCCAGTAATGTATATGGGTGTGTAGTATTAAGTTTGCACCTTCGCTTGGTTTCCATTCTTCACATTTGGTTCGTAAATTCAGCAAGTATGTGTTGAGTACCTTTGTTCTGCGTACAAGGGTCTGTACTAGATCCTAAGGATACAAATGTGATAAGGAAGCTATAGCCCATATCTTCATGGAGCTTATGTTCTGGAATGTGGGAAAAGAAGCTGAACAACTAAACATACACTAGCATAATTATGATTGTGGTAAGTGGTAAAGATGAGTACCAAGTGCTATGAGTGAATAAAAGAGGGAGATCAAAGTATGGGAACCTGTAGAATGAGTAGGTCTTAGGCAAATAGGAGGGTATAAAGCTTTGTGTTTGGAAGGGGTAGTATGTGCAGAGGTGCAGGAAGGAAAAAATATTGCAATTCCAGGAATAGAGAGTCATTGTGGCTGAAGTATGTGGATGCTGGGAAATGAGGCTGCAAAGGAAGGAGGGGACAAAGCATGAATTTTTAGGTTATGTTAAAATTTTTGGTCTTTACCGCAGGAGTATGAAAGGTTAATGAATGGTTAAAAGAAGAAAAGTGTCATGACCAGATCTTTTCAAAACATTATTTTAGTTGCTTCATGAAGAATGGGTAGAGGGAGGAAGATCAGAAGCAGAGCAGTTCGGGGTAGAGGGTGGCTTGGAATAGAGTGGGGACCGTGGAGGTGGAGGGAGATCTGAAAAACACACAGGAGGCAAAATCAGTGAGCCTGGCGTGTGATCGAGTGCGTCTACAGAGGTGAAAAGAAGTGTCAAGAATGACTCTGCTTCTTGACTGGACTTCCAGATAGTGTGACTGTTGATGCAGGATTGATCCATAATTGGAATGTTTCTAGATGTAACCAAAGCACAAAGGAGTTCGGGGTCTGGCAAAAACTGATTGGAATAATGAACAACACAATACAGAGGGAAGTGAAAAGAGGACTCAAGGTCATGACTAGAATAGAAGTCATTCATACTTTAAGTATGTTAAATAACAAATACCAGGAGTCAGGATAGGTAAGTTATGAATTGCAAGGTATGTGTATGTCTATCAGAGTTGAGGAATTCTTGTCTCTTTATCTTCTTTTATGGGCGCAGTGTTGTGCTGTGATAGTTTTCAGATAAACTACTTAGGTCAGCTAAATTCATCACTTTTAATAGAAACCTGTGATAATTTGTCCCAGTTTTTTGATGTAAATTGATCAATTAGAATGTTTGCATGCCAAAATTGAACTAAAATCAATGCCATTTATACCCAAGACATTGCTCTTGCTTCTTTTAAAAGTGCCTCAAATATTTTTTATATTTTGTTTAGTTTTATTCTTTTTCAATGAGAACATGAACTTCAGACTAAATATAGTGTAGATGTGAATGAAATTAAGTAAAATTCCATATAATTTAGTGTAATTTTCTACGTGTATTTTATTCACTTTAGCAGATTATGATTTCATCTTGATTTGCACTTGAATTACTCGTTTTTGTTTATCACCTTTACAGTAAAATTTCTGTCTGATTGAGAATTAAGTATTTTATGTTCAGAGTTTTCTTCCTAAAGTATGTTTTCTTCTGTAGGTTTTTGTATTGGAAAATATTCCATTTAAATGTTCACATATCGTACACATTTGTGAATGTTTTAATTTTGAAATAGATAGCTTAAAAAATATCCTGTCACTATGAAAGAATTTGGTGATAATACTGTGAAGGCAAATTAATCAGGATTTTTTTGTTTTTGTATTTTTGTTTTGGACCTTCTTCATCCCCCAACTTCCAGCCAACTGATGTAAGTGGAACTACTATGCCACACACCTGGAAAATAGTTGAGAGTTTCTCTGTCAGTATACCTGCAGTTTATGCGAAGAGACCTGTGGATTAGCTATTCTGACCTCTCATTGACTCAATAGTATTTGTAAAACTAAGGGAATAGAGAAAGATGCTCTTGCTATCTGTTGGCTACATGACCTGTCAAAGCTCACAGCCACAAATACTTAGAAAAAGTTTAAAGCTATTGTCTTAGGCTATGTTCTCCAGAGAAGCAAAACCAGCAAAACGCGTGTATATATAAAGAGAGATTTGTATCAAGGAGATGGCTCACACTGCCTCTAGAGGCTGTACATCCTAAGTCCATGAGGCAGGAAAGAGGATTCTCCTGATCCATGTAGCCACAGGGGTTGACAAACCCAAGATGGGCGGTCCGGAGAGCAGTACCACTGCAGGCCATGAAGATTGGCAGGCAAAACTGCTGGCAAGCCACCAGCCCGAGTCCAAAAACTGGAGGCCAGATGAATGGGAGCACGCTGCAGGATCCGGAACAAACAAAAGCCCTGGCAAGGCAAGCAAAAAGGAAGTAGGCAGAGGAGGATGGAGAGATGAAGGCTGAGGGGGCAGTGAGTCGCCACAGGCTCCAACCCAGAAGGTACCACGCAGCAAATTCCATCATGGGAGTGATCACGTATCAGATTTCAACAGGGAAGTGATCACAATATTATACAACTGCCTAAACACTGAGAGTCATACCAGCCAAGTTGACACACAGTCTTATCCATCACAGATGTATATAGGAGAGAACTATGATCATATACTAATTGAAAGTTTCACTCAGACACAAGGGGATATTGCATTTATCGAACACACAACCATGAAAAAAAAAGAAAAAACAATTGAAAATTACAGGAAAATAAATGTGATTGCTAGCAAAAAAAAAAAAGTATAAATCTCAGTAGAGGTAGTATTACATGACTATACACATGGACCTCACCAGATGGAATACACAGGAATGAAATCCACTACATCTGTGGAAAGAGACCATGGAGAAACTCACTGTCATTAGTCAGAACAAGGGCAGGGGCTGATTGTGGAACAGACCCTCGATTGCTCATATGCAAGTTCAAGTTGAAGCTGAAGAAAATTAAAACAAGTCCCCAAGAGCCAAAGTGCAGCCTTGAGTATATCCCAACTGAATTTGGAGACCATCTCAAGAATAGATTTGACGCATTCAACACTAACGACTGAAGACCATAAAAGTTGTGAAATAACATCAAAGACATCATACATGAAGAAAACAGGAAGTCATTAAAAAGACAGGAAAAGAAGAAAAGACCAAAATGGATGACAGAAGAGACTGAAACTTACCCTTGAACGTAGAGTAGCTAAAGGGAATGGAAGAAATGATGACATAAAAGAGATGAACAGAAGATTTCAAAAGGCGGCTCAAGAAGACAAAGTAAAGTATTGTAATAAAGTATGCAAAGACCTGGAGTTAGAAAACACAAAGGGAAGAACATGCTTGGCATTTCTCAAACTGAAAGAGCTGAATAAAAAAATTCAAGCCTCAAGTTGTGATATTGGAGGATTCTAGGGGCAAAAATTAGAACAATGCAGGAAGCATCAAAAGAAGATGGAAGGAATACGTATACAGAGTCAATATACCAAAAACCATGGGGACGGCATTCAGCCATTTCAGGAAGTTGCATATAATCAAGAACTGATGGTACTGAAGGAAGAAGTCTAAGCTTCACTGAAGGCATTGGTGAAAAACAAGGCTCTAGGAATTGATGAAATACCAATTGAGATGTTTCTACAAATGGATGCAAGGCTGGAAGTGCTCATTCATCTATGCCAAGATATATAGAATTGAAAAATAGTCTATGGTTTGAAAAGACTGGTAAATAAAGCTTTGATGTGTCTGATCCAGAAGAATGAGAAAACGTCCACATCATTAACATTAATGGATAAAAGGGATAGGACCAAAGATATGTAGCAGATTTTCAGAATCATCAGTGATTTCTATAAATATTTATGTGCAAACAGAATTGATGATTTTCTTGGAAATAGCAGTACCAGAGATTTTTCAAGAAAAGGAAACCTGCTGATTAAATGAATTACCCGGGGAAAAAAGGGAAACTATTGTCCTAGATTTACCTTCAATCATGCAAAAGGCGATGGATTCAGATAGTTTTACTCTTAAGGGCTAGAAGCAGTTCAAGAAATGAGTCATTACCAAGTGACTTACAGTGTTTCAGAAATTTAGAAGTAAAAAAGGAATTCTTTTTATCTTATTTAAAGGATATATTTTTAGAGGCTAACATAAATATATTGCCACATTTGACAAAGGCCGTATGAAAATAACAATAACAAAAATTGTAGCCTAGTGTCCTTATGATTACTGAAGTAAATAGCCTCAGAAAAATATTAGTAAATCAAAATCATCATTATGTTAAAAGGATGATATACACTTATCAAATATACTTATTTTAAGAATATTAAGTATTCTGAGGTATGTTATTTAGTTCATTGAACTACATTAAAAAGATAAATTCCTTATTATCTTGATAGATGTTAAAGCCTTTTGATAAAATTGAATAGATATTCCCTAATAAAGCTCTTAGAAGACTAGGAAAAATAAAGAAAGACTTTAGCAAGATTGTAATTGAGGGTATCTGTGAAAAATAATAGCAAACATAACAATTCATTGTAACACTAAGAAGCATTCCTGTTCAAAATCAGAAAGAAGATGGAAATATTTCCTATCAATGCTCTTAGCAGTGTTCTGAAAGT